CAGCTGTAACTCAACACACTTCCCAAAAAGCAGCCTTCTTTCAAAAGTTCATGTGATGCCCCAACCATATTTTTTTTTTCTTCCTTACCTTATTTAAATACATGCTCTCCCTTCACTGGTTTTGGGTCTTAAACCCACTTTGGGAAAAACCAACCAGTACAGGACAAGAGGAAACGGGCACAAACATGAACATAAGAAGTTCCACCTGAACACGAAGAGGAACTTTTTCAGTTTGAGGGTGGCAGAGCCCTGGAAGAGGCTGCCCAGAGAGGTGGTGGAATCTCCTTCTCTGGAGACATTCAGAACCCACCCGGACACGTTCCTGTGCAGCCTGCTCTAGGTAGACCTACTTTGGCAGGGGGTTGGACTAGATGATCTCCAGAGGTCCCTTCCAACAACAGAGCATTGTGTGATTCCGTGATCACTTGCTAGTTAAGTTATGCAACAGCAATAAAAAAAAAAAAGCCTGCATTATTTGTTACTTGGCCTAGACGCTTGATCTATTCCTGCACAATAAAATTTTACCATCAGTTTAAGACAAGCTCTGGGTTTATTCTGCTTCTTCTGTCACGTACTTATCCCAAATGCTTCTCCACCTTATTCACACCCCTTCCCTCCCATCTGTGAAATACACACCTCCCCTACCATATCTACCCACATGACTTCAAACCACCTAACACCCTGATAGCACCATCATAAGTGCAGCGAGACACCTACTCATTTCCAGACTCATTCAAATAATGGACAAAGAAACAAAATTTGCTTTGAAGTTATGAAATTCTTACTAGTATTCAGAATAAACACAACATTACTAGTAACAGCACTAAGAACTGTGCAAATCCAAACATACATGATTACACTCCATGCTTAATTACGCTAAAGAGCATCCCCCTTCCAAGCTGCCCATATGAATATACGCACAAATTCCCAGTTACATACAGCCTGATTTTACTGTATGTCAGTCAGACAAGGTTCTACTACAGCCAGGACGGATATTAAGGGATCTGGTTTCAACTCACTTGCAAGAAGCTTAAGTAAAGATCAGAATAGAAAAGCTTTTTAAACAAGCAAATGAAAAGCAGTTAAAATACTGCAAGAGTAAAACTAATGTTATAACGCTGCTAGCACACATTAATGCTCACTAGATTGAGGTCTAGCATTTGGATCCACCAGTCACAAATAGAACATTCAATTGAAATAAGAAGGTAAGAAGGTTTGGCTGTATAAAAAAAAAAAGTCACAGTTGTCAGGTAATATTAAAGTCAAATTTTGATTTCCTGTACTCTCCTCAGCAAGTTTCACATTTAAGGCTCAAAGTAAGCAAGCCACAGGAAGACAAAACCAAATCAGAGACACATAGCTATTTGACTTTCATCTCCCCACCAGAAAATACTTAAGCAGTAGTATTGAAAACAAACTCTGAAACGGGTTCATCAAACTAGCTATTTGCCAAACGTTAAGCTAATCATTTTTATAAATAGGCTGTTTTAGAGAGTACTTGGGGTTCCCATAACACAGCATTGGAGATAGAGATGGTAGTTAACAACAATTTGGAAACACTGTATCAGCACAGTTGAGCAGCAGCTCAATTGAAATACTATTTTTTCATTAGAAACAAATTTTAAGTACTCATATACAGAGAAAAAAAAAACCCAACACAAGCTTCTAGGTTTGGGGTTTTTTTCTTTTTTTTCTCCTTTTTTCTGGAAGATTTCTACAGCTTTGAGAGTTGAGAAGCCTCATCACACAGACAGCAGATGCAGGGAAGTTACAACTACTGTTGAGAGCCATTAGGATGAATAGCCTTTGCTTAGCAAAAGAAACTAAAGTAGCTGAAACCTCAGGCTGGAAGAGCTGACCAAGAGTAAACTCTTTGATAAAACTAATATTCACCTTCTTTGAACAGGAATCTAGGGCTGAGCCCTGGTGAGGTGGCTCCTTAATTCCCACAACAACTACCACACATATAACCTTCTTTGATAAAGAATTTTTTAGCTCAACTCAGACTTACTTTGCTGTTGCTCTGTTCATCTGCAAGTCATTTGTCTTTAGCAGGAACACCTGGAATAGAAGAAAACAGTCAGTATCTTGGTTATCTTGTTAAAAAGAAAGTGCGTGCAAGTCTCCTATCATTCCATTTTTCCTTAACTTCTGCTAGAAGGAGAAAATAAAAAACCCCTGAAGCTATATCACTTATACAGTATATTGTATGTATATGGTATATATTACTACTTTTTTTTTTTAATTATTACTCTCTAGAATGATAGCACAAGCCTTTTTATCAAAAAAACCACGGCATTAAAGCCAAGTAAAGTCTAAATCAAGTTCCTTTTAGATTACTTAAATTAAGCTTTAAATACATGTTTCTACATAGTCAACTGAAACAGAGCACTAGAACCTGCAAGAGGTTTTAAACAAAACAAGCAGGTTTGGTTTTACTCCACCTAGTAGAAGCATCTCTTCCTAAACATAAGCAAATAAAATGATTCTTAAAAGCAAGAACTATGCTTTCTTTATTGCTAGACTACAAAGGATTCTGTTACCAGTCCCACTACAGGGAAAAAAAATAACTTCCCAACGCAAATAAAAGTACCTTCAATGATTTAAGTATGAAGTCCCCCTATAATCTCCCCAGTTTGGTATGCTAACTAACAAATTGCAACTTTTTAGAGAAACAAAATCTTAAGCCAGTATCTCAAAAGAAAAATGATCCAAACGCCATCTCCCTCCGAGACTGCCCTTTTTGTGCACCTATGCTGAGTAGATGCAGCTGCCCTCCTTGCTTGAGTTGAGAGGGACCAGCTGCTGTCACTTTAGCAGAGAAGCTGGGATGTGATAGCACAGGTGAGGACACTGATCCTAAGGGCTTTCTTTTGGCCTTACTGGCTGACCACGGGCTGCTGCTGCTTATGCCAGAGCAGTGCTTAGAGAAAGTAAATGACAGTCTAGTGATAAGTTTGCTGCGCGTGGAGGGAAATAGAGACATGAACAGAAAGCAGAATTCACTGACAGCATTGGAAATATGTCATACCAACAGCACAGTGTTTCTCACTTAAAGACCACCAAGTGATTTAGGAACCGATTTATAGCACTGAAAATTGTTACTAACCCCTTTTAAAAATGCGCTGCAGTGCCATTGCCTAGTCTACACTTAAAAAGTTTATCAATGTAGCTGTGACCTCACACCCACCCGAGTTATACAGAGCTTACATCTGCTGGAAAGTGTATTTTTCTATCCACTTTATACAGCTTTTAGTGCCAGTAAATTAATATCAGATTTTTAGTACAGAATTTTTGCAAATGTTGCACTTTCCTGGCACTATTCTCTCTTGCTGGTCCCACTTCATTGGAAAAAAAAAAACCACAACATGAAAATAAGCTATTTAAGATACCATTTTCTTCGCTAAAGCAACTAAACACTTAAACAGTAAACAACATGGCTGCTAATGGTTTAGCAGAGTGAAAAATTACTGTGATTACTACCTTTGCAGCAATACTAATGAAGGCAAATATTACAGTGCAAAGTGCATATTTTTTTTTTTTAAATGGACTGTTCTATAGACCAAAAAAGAGCAACTTTGAGGACATAACATCCCTTTGACTCTGCAGTAGGAAACCAGAGCGAGTGCTTTCCGGTCTTCACAAGCATTATTAGTTGTTTGTTGAGTAAAAATAACTTCCTTTCCGTACAGCCTTGTGCCTCATAAACCCATGGGGTACAAGCAAAACCACCACTGCATGTCCGTAGCCTCATGTTCCTCTGCAGTCACCACAGGGGTCCTCACAAAGAGAGGATCGAGAATACCTATGCCCCCTAGGACAGCAGCCAGCATCCATATTTGCCTCAGTATGGGTACGGTTTCTCTGTGAGCTTGTACCAGAAAGGCAAGAGCACTGTCCGCGAGTCTCCAGGAGAGCTGAGGGCAGCGGGGATGGCCCCACCTGATGACTAACAGCACTGTAACAGCGCAGTGACACACAGGATGCATCACTGCCAACCTCCAGTGCCTGGCCTGGCACCATCCTGCCACCAAAAAGCCCAGGGCACCACCATGGCTGCACCTCAGGACAGGGCAGCAGGCGGGTCCGGTTCCCCACCGCCCACCAACCCTGCCTGGAGGGGTCTGTAAGCCACGACGTCACCGGGTGCTGCTCGTGATATCACTAACCTGTCACCACAGCCCTACCGAGGCCCAGGCACCTCGTGTGGCCGCCCCCCGCAGGGCCGACCCCACTGCGACATGACGGCCCAACGCCAGCCGCCCCTCCCATCACACCCCTGAAGGGACGAAGCCTTCCCACCACCCCGCTCACGCGCGCGCCCCGACCAATCAGCGAGGCGCTTGCAGCACGGGAAACCAAGAACCAATCGCCGGGCCGCTTACAGCCAGCCGGCCCTCGGTGTGACCCTCGGCGGCCACCGTAAGTCGGGCCGGCTGTTCTCTCTCATTGGTCTGAGCGAAAGCCCTACCCGCCGGTGATTGGTGGGCGGTGCCAGGGGGCGGGGCGTGTTCCGTGCCGGCGGGTCCGTCAGGGGTGGCGGTGCCCGCCATGGCGGCCCAGCCCCCGCTGGGGCCGCGGAAACGGAGCGGGCCGGCGCTGGGCGGGGCGGGATGGGCCGGGGCCGCGCCTCCAGCCGCCCCGGA